GGAGCTGGTTTCTGGCTCGCATTTGGCCAGCAGCCGCAGCCTGGTGGCTATGACAATGCAACTCACTCCATAGGGTCAATTCTGACTCACAGCAACCCTGCTGGGCAGGGCAGGCCTGCCCCCGTGAGTGTCTGAGACTCTAACTCCTTATGGAAGTAGAAAGCCCTATCTTTCTCCCTTGGAGTGGCTGATTTCTCTTGGAAATCCTTAAGAAAAATCCCATGTGCTTCTGCACTAAGAATGTGCCAAGACAGCTCTGTGGGGAAAGTATCTAAACACACACACAGAAACAGCTAATCATAAAAGGACAATCGGCATGGATCCATGTGCAAAGTCAATAGAGCATCACAGCTAATCATTTCTAATCTAATTCCAGGGGAAAGCAGTCTTCCTGGGTTGCTGTCTGTTGTGTAGCTATGTTGCTTTTTTTTTAATGCTTTTTTTTTTCATATTGTGAATTGGGTGATGAATTTTCACTGAAGAATTGATTTAATCTCATCCGTTACAATCCTCTGCACTATAACATCACTTATCCCCACTTCCTCTCTGTTTCCTGTTTCCATCCCTCCTCCTTTCTGAACCCTTCTGAACTTTGTCCTCAGGTAAATGCTGCCCTTTTGATCTCAGACAGTGGGTTATTTGAAGGAGTGAGTACCTCCCTATTGTTATTGTTCCCCTTATAAAACAGCTTTATTGTTCTGCTAAAAATTGAGCAGTGGGAGTGAGTTCATTTTCAGACCTGAAGGGTGCCTGAGGGGTAAAAGCTAACAAGATTCTACTTTTTTTTTAACTCGGATGTTAGGGCAGAAATAATCTTTTTAAGACAATAAAGTATATGATATCTTAAAAATACAGAAAAAATATAAACCCAATGCCATCTAGAAATACTAACAATTCTTGACAGGGTAACCACGTGAACCCCTGAAACTATTGCCCTGAGATAATCTGTAAATCTTAAACCCAAACTATCCCTAAACCCTTTAAAGCCAAACAATAGTTGTCTTGACTCAAAAACTCACTGCCATTGAGTCAAAGGCAGCTCATAGCGACCCACTAGGGCAGGCTGGAACTGCTCCCGGGGTTCCCAAGACTAAATCTTTATGGGAGTAGAATGCCCATCTTTCTTCTGTTACCATAACCAGTGAAGGAAAATGTCTGCCTTGAACATTTATGCTCTTTTTAAAACTACCTCTATGGTATTAAAGTGAAAAGGTAACTTGAAACATTAGGTAGTGACATTCAGTTTGATGATGCCAACTGAGAGCACAACTGGAGACCCTGTAGGACAAGGTGGAACTGCCCTGTGTGCCTCAGAGATGGCAATACCCATCTCATCTTGCTCCCATAGAGCAGCTGGAGATTTCAAAATGTTGAACTTGAGATTAGCACCGCAATACATAACTCACTAGACCATCAAGGCTGCTATAGATAAAGAGCTTAGAGGACAGGGTATTTGTGCTCATGGGGCAGAGACCCAGAAAAGGGGGGTAGAGATGGTTACACACTCAAAGAATGTCATCAATGCCCCTGAGCTGCACACGTAGAAATGATTGAATTAGAGTTATCTATACTCTGTATAAACAGCAAACACATATATATAATAATTTTAAAGGCAAGAGCAGAAGAACCAGGATCATGGCTCCTCTGAGCAAGGCCAGGCTGAGCTGTGTTAGACACAGACTGTACCCCGGTACAAACCTGTTTCAGGAACAGCGCTCACATAGCTAACCCCAGGCCTCCGCTAATTCCTACAGGTACCCAAGTTACTAACCCCACTCATCATACCTATAAGATTAAAAACCACACTAGACTTTTTGTTGACGTAGGAGTTTGAACTGAATAATTATACACTCTTAACACGTGGAAGCTCATTACTGTGGAGTCAATTCTGACACGCAGTGACCCAACAGGCGTCCTAGTGGTTCAGCGGTTAAAGCACAATTTGAAACCTCCAGATGCTTAGCAGGGGAAAGAGTTGACAGCTGGCTGCTACAAAGATTACAGCCTTGGGAATCGTGTGCTTTGCTAAGAGTCACAATCAGCTCCGTGGCAGAGGATTTGGGGTTTGGAACACTGCTGGCACAGTGGTCAGCATTCAGCTGTCAACAGAATGGTCAGCGGTTCCAAGCCGCCAGCTGTTCCCCAGGAGAAAATGAGCCCACCTGCTTCCATAATGATGACAGCTTTGGAAGCTCTACTAAAAGGTCAGACGTTCAGACCCAGAAGACACTCAGCAAGAGAGAGATGTGGGCACCTGCTTCTACAACGATTGACACAAAGTAGAGAGTTGAGACTAAGGAGGATGAAAGAAGATAACACGAGGGAAAAACAAAACAAAAAAGACAAGGAAGACTAGACTCAGTCATTGTCTCTGGTGTTTTTCTGGCCCACTATTTTGAAGGACTGGACACAGATCTGGTGTCTCCTTGATTCCTCTTTGTCCTCAAGGTTTCCCTTCGTGGTCAGAGAGAATATGCTACCATTTCCTTCATAGGGACCAGGTTTTCCCTCCCTTCTATATATTTTCATATCAAATCATCACTCTTTCGAACCTCAAGACCGTTAAATCATCGCCTGACAGAGATCAAAGGAATCTTAGAAAACATGTGCGTACAACTCCTTTCTACAGTCTTCTAAATTGGTAGTGGAACCACTGATGTCCGAGAAGGCTGGTAACTAATAGAAGATGACAATTTGAGTCCACATCAAGGCCAGACAGAGGTGCCACGTCTTCTGTCTTCATGGGCGGGCCAGCTTCACCACACAAGGGTGCTTCCAAAAGTTTGTGGAAAAATGCAATTGGAACATAATTCAATTTTTCCATCAACTTTCTAAAGCCTTCTCACAGTTAAGAGTTTATTATATGTCTGTTCATTCTTATTAGCAAGAAAGTTGATCCATTGCCTGCTTTTTATTTAGAAGAAAAATGTTACATCTTAGCATTCAAGCAGCATACCACTCAAATAGACTTTGTTAAGACAGGAGTATCTGAATTATAAAAGTCTAACATTTAATATCAGTTCATCATACGATGGTAGCTTGCACATTGCTGAAATGCTGGAAGCTACCTATGTCATTGGTATTTCAAAGACCAGCAGGATTGCTCAAGGTGAACAGGCTTCAGTGGAGTTTCCAGACGCTGAAGTAGCACACTGTTCCCTTCTGAGGAATTAACCACTGCGAACTTCATGAAGAGCACCGTAAAGACTACAGTGTGCCTGCCACACGCCATGGTATTTTCAATCATCTCATATGCATGTGAAACACTGGGCATTGGTTCAGGAAGATCAAAGGAGAATCCATGCATTTTAATTGTGGTGCTGATGCATTTTAATTGTGGTGCTGATGAAAAATATTGAAAGTACCATGGACTGCTAAAAAAAACAACGAATTAGATTTGGAAGAAGTACAGTCAAATTGCTCCTTGGAAATGATGATAGCAAGACTTCATCTCCTATACTTTCGACATGTTAGCAGAGAGACCAGTCCCTGGAAAAGGATGCCATGGTTGGGAAAACAGAAAGACAACAAACGGGCAGAAGGCCCTTAATAAGATGGACGGACACAGTGGCTGCAACAGCGGGCGCGAGCATACGGACAATTATGAGGCTGGCGCGGGACCGGGCACACAGGGTTCTTATTAGTTGGAAAAGACTCGGTGGCACCTAACCACAAATCTTTTCATTTTAAGAGCCATCTTCTCAACATACTTTGGGTCTTCCCTCTCCTGGATTGCATTTCAAAGTATCACCTGGCGGTGGTTGTGGGGTGCTCATGGCTGCAGTCACTGTGTCGGGCCATTTGCCCAGGGCCTTCCTCTCTGTCACTGCTTCTACTTCTCCAAGCACGAGGTCCCTCTCCAGGGCCTGGCCTCTCCTGACAGTCGGCCCAAGCACGTGAGACAAAGGTCAGCAGGGGCTGAAATGATGTCACTGAATTACCTGATACGTTCATGGTTACTTACAAGCAAAAAGGTTGAACCTTATGCCCAATCACGTCATCATACTACCATAACTTAGCATACACATGTGTTTGGTGCACACACAATTAGTCCCAGTAAATATCCAAATTATTTCAATGTGAAAAAAAAAAGCATGAAAGTCCAACCAACATCTGTTGAAACACAAGCAGTTATTCAATAATTTCAAACATTGCACCTTCTAAATTATCAAAATAGAAAAAGGAATGTTCTCAACTTCCAAAAATTAGGGCAACCCTGGTGGCAGAATAGATGATGAATGGGACTACTAACTGCAAGGTTAGCATCTTGAATCCCCTAGTTGCGCTGAGCAAGAAAGATGAGGCTATCTGCTCGTGTAAATATCTACACCCTTGGAAGGCCTAGAGAGCAGTTCTACTCTGTCATTTGAGATCACTATGGGTCAGAATTGACTCAGTGGTTATTTTCCCCCCAGATATAAAGACTGGAAAGAAAGAAAACAACTTATCCTCAGACATAAGTGCTCAAAAAACTATCTAAAGACTAGATAACAATGGGAGGGGAACTCTGAATAAAATTTCCCCATTATACAACTTTAAATAAAAAATAATTGCGATTCATTTTATGCAGTTGATGGTATTATTTGATTATATTGTTGTTTGTTTGTTTCATTTACTATTGTTGTTTTGTCTAAGCTACCTGCATATTAAATTTAACTCTGTTTCTGCATTGCAGATATTTAAGTCACTGACGTCACACGTCCTACTACACCTTTATGCCAAAAACCCGTTGCCTTCAGGCTAATTCTGGCTCTCATAGCGACCCTATGGAGGGTTTCCAAGACTGTAAATCTCTACGGACGCAGACCGTCTCAGCTTTCTGTTGAACCAACAGCCTTGTGGGGCCCAACATCTAAGCCACAGCACCGCCAAGTGCCTTCATAAGCAATAAACATGGACCACCGTTCTTTCCAATACAATATTTGAGTAATAACTATTAAAATAAATAATAACATTCAAATAAATGTTTGAGTATTATTCAAAACATAAAATGTAATTACCTTTCCAAAGTCACGAACATCAAACAGGTCAAATGCCTCAAAGAGCTCGCTTTTCCTCATTCCAAACGTCTCGCAACAGGCAGTGAGAAATGTCCTTATGTTCTTCAGACAGAGAAACTGAGGGATGGAGAAGAGCTATTAGTGTATACGGAGAGTCATTATGAATGCTACCTATACCCATCACACCCAGAGCAACTGTTAAAAGGTGGGGAAGAGTCCAGAGGTGTTTATGGTTCTTCCTGATTCTTCATTGAGTAGTTACTTATTGAACCCGTTAGCAGGCACCAGAGAGGCAAATCTCTGCTCCTGTGAAACTGCACTCACTCGAAGGAGAGAGAAACTAAACCACAGCCATGGAATAGTATGTTTTTGTTTGCTTGTTTCACTTGATGATAAACGCAATGAAGGAAAATTAAATGGGGAAGAGGGATCAGGAATGGAGGGAGAGCGGAGCTATTTCAAACACAGTTCATGACAACCTTGCTGAGAAGACTTGTGAAGAGAGACAGAGTCGGCCAGCTGAACTGTGGTAACAGGGTATTCCAGGCTGAAGTGCCAAGTATACCAAGGCTCTGAGACAGAAAGAAGCGTAACAATATGGCCCAGGAAAGGGTCCGTGAAACGAGCAGAATGAGCAACAAGGAGACGGGTAGGGGTGAGTTCAGCGTGGTAACCGGAAGAGAGGATGAGGGCCCTGCAGAGCGAGGTTTCCACTCTGAGATGGGAAGTCACTGGAGGCCCTGAACAACAGAGTGACACGATCTGACTTGATGGATCAAAAGGGTCTTCCAGGAAGGTAAGATAGGAGCCCATTGCAATAACCCAGGCAAGACGCACTGTAGGAAGTCAGCTTGGAATGTGCTAAGTTGGAAGTGCCCATTAGTCATCCAATGGGATGGAAGGCAGACAAGTGAACATACACATCCGGCGTCGGGGGACAAGTTTGTACTAGAAAGGTCCATGGGATCCTTGAGCAGCAAAAGGGGTGGGGTCCTGATAGTGCTCTAGTGTAGATGCTGCTTCCAACAGAAGAACGCCAGTCCATCCACAACCGCGGGAAGGCAGGCAGGCAGGCACCACTGCCAATTTATACACCTACAGTCAGATTTACTGCCAGTACCAAAAAGACTTGGATCAGCCTAAACAGAACAGGCTCACATTGGGAAAGTGAATTCATTCCTTTGGAAATATTAGCTGCTCTGGCATGCTCGCACACGCACACACAGACAGTGGACAACATATTACATA